TAAATAAATATTTCTTTCAAAAAACTAAAATTCCCGATATTTTATTTAACACACCTCGTACGTATATTAAAGTGTTACTTTGCGCACGCTAGTAGAAAAAATTTATTTTTCTTCATTTAATAAAAAGATGGGATTAATTTGTCACTGCTGTAATTAATAAAGTCTTCACAGGAATCCGAAAATCTTGAACACATTTCATAGTCTATTAAAGTTATAATTTATTAAGGAGCGTGTATTTTTATCTCGGGCCCCCGAAATAAAATAAAATATAGCAGCTCCGCCGACGAAACGTATAAAAATCTTAAAATTCTAAACGTCTCTCATGAATTCAAAATGATTTGAAATATCATTCAACATTTATTTATTGCTTGTTGTCTGCCTGTTGGGGAAAATTCGCAGTCATTCATAATTCTACCCCGATGTTAGCACATGACGTCGTAATTCATTTTCGCGCTTAAGTTGCCGGAAAATGCCCATTTTCGTCGGATGGTTGGACATTTTCGCACAGCATGTTTTAGCACTCTACGAAACAAGTTTTTCTTTTCTACACTTTTAGCGTATAAATGTCCAAAGTGAAATTTACTCTGTAAATTTATACTTTTAATGTAAAACTCTATTGAGTTTTGTTGACATTTTAAAGATTTGGATTTGGAAAAAATATTATGAAAATGATTATTTTCATTAAACCACCCTCAAATAAAATATACACCATGATTAATTCAAGAACAAGTATTTTTTTATACAAATGTTATAATTCTTGGCGATACAATATTTACTTTTGGATTAAATATAAGGTGTCTTTATGTAAGTTAAGCAATAATTGTTTCAAATATTGTATATTCTTTTTTTTAACTTTTGCTCGACTTTAAATAAAGGTTAGGATATAATGACCATGTTTATTTCAAAAGGTAAAGAGTAGATTATGCTATCTCTTTTTTTCTAAGACTGATAGAGAAAAATAGATAGAATAATCCACTCTTTACCTTTTAAAATAAACATGGTCATTATATCCTAACCTTTAATTAAAGTCGAGCAAAAGTTAAAAAAAGAATAGACAATATTTAAAACAATTATTAACCTGAAAAAAATGATATTGGTCTATAGAATTATCTTTATTACATAATTTTTTACAATGTTTCAAATACCTATCTACCCATATATATTATAATATATACTGCAATGATTTTGTTCAAACCTTCAGACACGTTGATTTTGTTTGCGATTTTTTGACTAAATGGGTCATTTTCAAGAAACACCCGCTTTCAGGAAAATGAAGATCAATTTTTTTGCTTAAATTGACTTTTGGTTGGATTTTTGTTTATAAAAATCCATACATTTATAAATGTTTAGAGTTTTGTTTACTTACATTTAAGACAGGCAGTGCACTTTTTAATTTTTTTTACGTTTTTTTCAGAAAAATGTGTTATATATCTCCACTGTGTTACAAATTTGAAATCCAAAATTTAATTCAATAAAAGAAGTTGTTATAAAAATAATTTGATATAAAATGTACTTAGTTCACAAACTTTTGACTCCAATTTTTTATTTTATTTTTTATTAAAAATTGTATGCTTTTGTTTAAATATATATGTTCGTTAAGTTACTTTTTAAAAGAAACCATTCCCATTATTTGTTAAAAAAACAATACCATTAATATTTTATTTTAGTCACTGTATTAGTGAATTAAACTCTAATTTATGAACACGTATTACCAAGTGATAGTGTATAAAAATCATTTTAAGTATTTTTTTTAACAAAAACTAAAAAAAGTAACGAAATAGACATTGGTATCACAACGGACAGGGGTATACAAAGGACTTAATCAGATAACGTAAAAAAGAAACTATATAGGGTGGTACGATTTTAGAGTAATGCATAAACAAAATCCCTTGTAGTGGTGCTCACTCGCAGAATAACAACTTAGATTTCTAAATTATAGACCCCCTTTTTCTTTGACTATAAGCTGGTGAAGGTCCCTTTTAGTACTTTTATATTGCGTGGAATTTTTCCTTGGATGTAATCTATATCATGAGTTGTAATTACAAATAATTTTAAATTGGTTAATCATAAACTACTTTTAATAAAAGCGACGGTAAATATCCACTTTGTTGTCGAAAAATTCTATTGCGTTACCCTAAATTCCATTGCGTTACCATAAGGTAACATAGTCGACTCGGTAACGCAGTGTACAAAGTTTTGTAAAACCATATTTAAAAAATAATAATAAGACATTATAGTCATTAATTACTCTCAATGAGCTTTAGTGCCCTAAAATAAACATAAACATGAAAAATAGTATTTTTTCTTAGCTTATTTTTATTATTTTTTTGAAACTTAGCGAACAAACAATTATTACATTCGCGTTACACGCACCTTTTTCAACCGATATCTTCTTCCTGATTGAATAAATAAATTCAGCTGGGTAATGTGTACGTCCGAACATCATTTGTTGATCACGTGAGTACCAAAAAAGTTGCCATATATATGTTTTTTTTAATATTCTATCGGTAACGCGACGGACGTAACGCAACGGAAAAAATGTCTGGGACATGAGTCAAATTTAAAAAAAGTAGATTAAAATTAATTATTTTATAAATTGTTTACTGTATTAACTAAGGATGTTATGGATTGCTATAAAGCAACACAAAGTTCTGGTTATTCAATATTTAAAAAAAAACATGTATGTAAGTTTTATAAAACGCTAATGGGACAAGTTTCAAAATTAAAAAAAAATTATTCTGAAAGAGTTTACTTGGTTTTTAAATCAATAAGATCCGATAATTTTTAACAAAGTTATTGGAATTCAAACTTACGGAAGCGAAAGACGGGGTTTTTTGAAAACGACCTATCTACTCGTTTAATTATCAACTTATTGGAGTAGATAAAGTATAGTATTACACTTAAGATTATGCGCATTATTTTTCGTATAATAATATACTAATAAACCCACAAATTTATAGATTATGTTTTTATGAAAATGGAAAATAAGTATATACTATGCCCAAAACATTTGTTCTCCAGTAAAATAAGGAAAAACATTACAGCGCACTTATCTGGTGTACGGTCTTTTTCTGTTTTATTTACGTTTTCTTATTAAATCGATGGAAAACCGGTGAATCTCTTAAACCAGACTCAACGCAGACAGGCTGTTATCCATTTTGCACGTAAATATTTCCCCTAAAATTACGTTGCTAACGTAGAAAATATGCAGCGAAGAATTTTACTGTGCTTTTATTATTGCAAACTGCTACGCATTCTTGGAGGATTTTTTGGTGCTTTTTTTCGCATTTTTAATGCCCTAAACACGAAAAAAAATGTCTAGCTGTTACAAAATCCTTGTAAGACGGTGTAGTTATTACATTACTAAAGGTCCAAGCTAAAAACTAAGAATCCCAATGAATTTGTAAAATCCGTGGATTTTCACCAAACAGGAAAATATCGTTTTAATTAAAAGTTTCGAGATTAAATTTTGATATCCCACGGTCGACGTGTTTGCGTTAGATTTAGCTAAGCTGCGAAATTATATGGCCCAAAGCCCGTTTGTAGCTATATATTTCCCGGCAAATGTGCCTGTGACATATCAACCTGACCACGTTGGACACTTTAGACAGATTATGGCCTAAATAACAGTGATTTCCTTAAATATATACAGGAAGGATTTTCTCTGCTCCAGTAGGTACAATTAAATTTAAAATTCTAATGGCTATAACATATAAGGTTATTAAATTTTCAGTGTCTTATTGGGACAAAAACCTACGATTTGTCAAAGTAATGAGATTATTTTTATTTACAGAATAAACCTTTTTTACTGTTAATAAAATTCTCATTTACTATAATGAAGCTTTTATAAAAAAAAGTTCATCCAACAAAGTAATAGTTGTTATCATATTGTCATGGCAATAAGAAATACTTTATGTTTATATTAAATCTTTGCCAAACTTGAAATGTTTTTGTTAAATCTATAGTTGTGTGTGAATTGCGCTTACATAAAGTAATGCGCAGTTGTTATAGTAAAATTTGTTCATTTTACTATGGCATATTTGTCTTTTTTAAATTACTATCGTTATAATTCAAATTAATTTTATTTCAGTCAGAAAATCTTTGTAATAGCTTACAATAACAAAAACATTTTATAGCTATAAAAAGACTTTTAATATTTACTATTCTTTTGCAATGGTATTTTTGTTATTTTCCTTAAAAAGAGGGGGAAAGGGCCAGGGCTAGTAATTTGTTTTGTTTTAATACCTTGCATTTATTTTAAAAACTACCCAATACCCAACAGTAGGTTAAAAATGTGACCATTGTTACAATGAAAATATTTCTAAAAGGAGTAACTATTATTCAAATCAAAAATGTAATAATAATTTAAAAAAAAACACTTTTGTAGACATCCGATAGCTATATACGTATCGTAGTGTGAATCGACCTTAATGGTATTTTTGACAGATCAGTGTTTTGTCTTTTAGGTTAAGTTTGTTTATTCATGGTTTTATTGGATTTTTTGCCTTTAAAATTTATAAAAAGCGTATGTTTTTCGACCGATTGAACGCCTAATCGTCGAGCGTGCATTCCTGCCGATAACCCTTAATGCAAACAATAATGGGCTCGACAGATTTTTTTTTCCGCGTACAGAGGACTATGCTCGTTCGAGCGTGCAACATCGCTATCACACAAAAGTTGTGTGATGTGTAAAATATGCCTGATCAATTGTTCGGGCCACAAAGGAAGTGATGTGTAGAGTGGCTGAAGAAAATTTAAGGGGGATATTGAAACTACACTGTTATAAAAATCAAATTTGTTAACACGAGTTTGTAGTTAATTTTATTTTGTTAAATTTTAACATATTTTAAAAAGTCATTACCCGATTTCCTAAGGCTATAATTTTTTTTGTGATGAAAAAATCATTCCAATTTTTCCCGGTGCAACCACCATTTTTGAAACTTTTTATTTTTTTAATAAAAAGTAGGTGCAAAGTTCAAAATGAAAATTTAAGGAATTTCTTATATTACCTCTTGAATCCAATGCAGAATGACTTTCGACAGGGCCGGATCGAGGGCGGGCGGCGACGAGGAATTTTGCAGGGCCGTAACGAGCAATTGGGCCGCCTCCCGCACGCTTGGCGGCGGTGCTGCGAAGCCATAGTCAGGAGAGTGGGCCGTCAACGAACCACTGTTACCTTGAAAAAATTATAATTTTTAATTTATTTAAATTAAAAAACGAATAATAATTTTTTGATAAAAAAATTATTTGTGGAATGTTATATGCAAAATTTAAATTTGTTGTACACAAAATAACGTTATGCCACTAAAATAAAAATTAGCAAAAAATACAAAAATACAAAAAATGATTTATGGAATGTATAATATGCAAAATACTAAAAATAAAAGTTATAAAAATCTGACACTAATAAAAAATATAAATTAATAATATCCGATCAAAAATTCTAAAAAATGCTTTATGGAACGTACCATGTACAAATTTTGAAAAAATATAACAGTAAAAATAATTTAAAACAAAATAAGAACCTAAACCTGACCAATTAAAAATATAAAATAATAAAAAATATAACATTCTAAAAACGTTATTTGGAATGTCCCATATACAAAATTAAACAAATAGTAACAATAAGGCAAGCTACAATTGGAAATTATAATCTTTAACAAAAAAAAAAGAATTAAAAAAATTTGTATGGAATGCTAATATGCCAAATGCTAAAAATAAAATATCCGATTAAAAATTCTAAAAAAACGTTCTATGGAATGTCTTATATGCAAAATTAGACAATATGGCAAGCTACAATTGGAAATTTAAATTTTCAATAAAAAATACAACATTCTAAAATTTAAAAAAAAAATGTTTTATGGAATGTCCCATATACAAAATACTAAAAACAAGTTATTATCACAGTAAAAAAAATAATTTAAAAATATCCCATCAAAAATTCATTTTTGAAAAAATATAATTTAGTAAAAATAATTTAAAACAAAATAAGAACCTGAACCTGACCAATCAAAAATATACTAAATGTACCAAACGATTGCAAACGACCAAAAAATACAAAACTATAAAAAACGTTATATGGAATGTTCCATATACAAAATTAAACAAATTATAATATGGCAAGTAACAATTGGAAATTCAAATTTTCAATAAAAAAATACGAATTAAAAAAAATGTTTTATGGAATGACCCATAAGCAAAATACTAAAAATAAGAGTAATAAAAATCTGTTACAGTAATAAAAAATATAATTTAAAAATATCCTATCAAAAATTCTAAAAAATAATTTATGGAACAAACCATATACAAATATGGAAAAATATAACACCGCAAAAATAATTTAAAACAAAATAAAAATATTGTAAAAGCACTAAACGATTGCATTTTAAAAATGTTCGATCAAAAAATACAAAGTTCTAAAAAAAGTTCTATGGAATGTCCCATACATAAAAAATAAACAAATTGTAACAATATGGCAAGCTAAAATTGTAAATTAAAATTTTTAATATAAAAATACGAATTAAAAAAAGTTTTATGGAATGTCCCATATGCAAAATACTAGCATATAGTAAATTTTAAAAAAAACCTTCTATGGAATATCCCATCTACAAAATTAAGAAAAATTGTAACCATATGGCAAGCTACAATTGGAAATTATAATTTTCAATACAAAATGCGAATTTAAAAAAAATGTCCCATATGCAAAATACTAAAAATAAGAGTTATAAAAATCTGTTGCGGTAATAACAAATATAATTTAAAAATATCCGATTAAAAATTAATTTATGGAACGAACCATATACAAATATGGAAAAAATATAACACAGCAAAAATAATTTAAAACAAAATAAAAATATTGTAAATGTACTAAACGATTGCAATTTAAAAATGTACGATCAAAAAATACAAAGTTCTAAAAAAACGTTCTATACAATGTCCCATATGAAAAATTAAACAAATTGTAACAAATACGAATAAAAAAAGTGTTTTATGGAATGTCCCATATCCAAAATACCGAAAATAAGAGTTATAAAAATCCGTTACAGTAGTAAAAATATAATTTAAAAATACAAAGTTCTAAAAAAAACTGTCTATGGAATGTCCCATATATAAAAAATAAACAAATTGTAACAATGTGGCAAGCTAAAATAGGAAATTAAAATTTTTAATAAAAAAAATACGAATTAATTATGGAATGTCCCATATGCAAAATACTAGCATACACAGATCCTGTACAAACAGATTTACAGAGAGCCAAACGCAATGCAAACAAACAAACATGTTGCTTGTAATTTGAATATTTCAAAGGGTTAAAGTTTGCCTAATATAACTTACACAGGCAGACGGACATGCCTAGTCGGGAGTTCGATCTTATTTATTCCAGTCAGAATAAGGCCTTATTGGAAACAATACGTCAGTTCAAATGAAAAGTTAATCCCCAAACGGAGGCCCTTCCGCGTTATAAATGATGTATCCGACAAACAAATCCATAACTATGTTTATTATTTATTACTTTGTATATGGATACTACTGGCATTCATTACTCAACGCCACTAGACAGGCTAGAGTTTGATTTAAAAGTATATCATTAGATTGCTACTACTTTTTAAAAATAATGAATTTGATTATTAACAAATAAAATCAGACAGTATAAAAGCAAGAAAGAACGAAATTGGCCTCCAAGAAGTTGTGATTTAAATCATTTTGAAAATAATGGTCTATGTAATCTGGAAGTTTAGTTTTTTACGACAACAAAACGGTTTAACTTGATATCTATAACGAGAAATTGGAATAAATAATTATAAAAATTATTTTTCGTTTTTCTAAAAAAAATTGAACCAAGTGAACTGGTTATAATATAAGCTCCATAAAACACCGTATTGTAACACGTATATTTCAATGTTGAAGCTGAATTTCAGAGAGCCCAAGAGCTGCAAGCTGCTAGTTTCAGATATTGAAATTTAGAGGTTCCAAATCCGTAGTGCTGACCCTCGTCACCGATTCGGTTCAGCGCGCCACCGCGCGTTTTGCCTGATTTAGTTTCGTTAATAAATGCTGAGAGGAAATCTGGAGGACGTAAATTCAATTTATACACATGTATGCATTAGGGAATATTGATTTTTTTTTAATTGTGGGGGTTTGTCGTAATTAAGTGAGGTGTTAAGTGCAAGCTTTATTAAGAAAATATTGGATTATAAAATATGTATTGCAAAAATGGCGGACACTATTTATAAAAACGAATTTCCTCAGATACAAATGAAACAAACGTAAAAAGATCAGAATCAAAGCAAAAAAACCAAGAAGCAGATATATAGCGAACGTGAAAATGCATTATGTCGTCTGTCACTTACTGTTGATGTGATTTCGCTGCTGGTCCCTGAACCGAGCCGAATGGCACATACTTAGCCACCACCAACGCGTCATAACACGGCCCTTTGTCACATGACAAAAACCACGTTTTTTATTTTACTGTGGACCTTCGTTATCTCCGCACAAAATGTCTTATCTTGGGAAAAATGTAAAATTTTTATCACAATTAAAATAAAACTAGCGGCTTCGCTCGCGCAGAAAAAAAAATTGCACCTCCTCCGCGAATGTCAGTAAATCTTCTGACAAAAAAAACAAAAACAATAAAAAAACAAATCGAAAATTAAAATTAAAGTCTAAAAAAAGTAGTACACAAACACACTTTCGCAAATATACGTCAGGATAAATTTGGCAACACCGCTAAATACTGCAAGATGGCTTCCTGAAGGTATTCTAAACATTTTTTTAGTTCTGTGATGTCATGCAACGTAACAAAAATTCCTGGGATCTGGGATTTTTTGAGGGGAAAATTTAAGAAATAAAAAAAAGTATAAAAGAAATAAAAAAGTGAAAAAAAATTCATATTCATTTGGCAACACTGCTAAATAGTGCAAGATTTTGAAAAATTATCATATTCTGGGAATTTTTGGAAATTTGACAACGTTAAAAAATTCAAGAACAAGAAAATATAAAAAAAATTAAAAAATACAAAAGTAAAAAAAGATGTCCTACTGAAGGTATCTTGATCAACTTAAAAAATTTCCAAGTTCTGTGATTTTTTGAAATTTGGCAACACTTCTAAAAATCCCCTATTTTGGGATTTTTGGAAATTTGGCAACGTCGCAAAAAAATTAAAATAAAAAAACTAGAAAATATAAAAAAATTAAAAAAAAACAAAAGTTAAAAAAGATGTATAAAAGGTATATTGCATATTTTTAAAAAATTCCAAGTTCTGTGATTTTTTAGAAATTTGGCAAAATCGCTAAAAATTCCCCAAAGTAAAAAAAGATGTCCTACTTGAAGTTTTGTGATTTTTTAAAAGTTTGTCAAAACCGCTAAATATCCCCTATTCTGGGATTTTTTGAAAATTGGGCAACGTCGCAAAAGTTAATGAACAAGAAAATATAAAAAAGTTAAAAAAGACAAAAGTAAAAAAATATATGCCTAATTGAAAGTATCTTGAACATTTTCAAAAAATTCCACGTTCTCTGATTTTTTAGAAATTTGGCAACACCGCTAAAATATCATTTTCTGGGATTTTTTTGAAACTTGGCAACGTCTCAAAAAATAATAAAGAAGAAAATATAAAAAAATAAAAAAGTTCAAATAAAGATGTCCTACTGAAGGCATCTTGAACATTTTAAAAAATTCCAAGTTCTGTGATTTTTAGAAATTTGGCAACATCGCTAAAAATCCCCTAAGGTAAAAAAAATGCCCTACTGAAGGTATCTTGATTTTTTAGAAATTTGGCAACACCGCTAAATATTATAGGATTTTTTTGAAAATTTGACAACGTCGCAAAAAATTAATGAAGAAGAAAACATAAAAAAATTAAAAAAAGACAAAAGTAAAAATTAGATGTCCTACTGAAAGCATCTTGAACATTTTGATAAATTTCCAAGTTCTCTGATTTTTTAGAAATTTGTCAAATTCTGGGATTTTTTGAAAATTGGGCAAAGTCGCAAAAGTTAACAAACAAGAAAATATAAAAAATTAAAGTGAAAAAAGTAAAACAAAATTGCCAATTGAAAGTATCTTAAAACATTTTAAAAAAATTCCAAGTGATTTTTTAGAAATTTGGCAACACCGCTAAAATACCATTTTCTGGGATTTTTGGACACAATGTCGCAAAAAATTATAAACAAGATT